AGGTTATATGGTGATGGCAGGAAAGGCAGGCAGTCGCTTCTGCCCAGAGAAGCTGGGCCTGCCCACAGGTTCCAGGGCCCTGCGACAGCCCATTCACAGTGGGTTCTCCCGAGTGGAAAGCCTCCTCCTGTGAGGCCCCGGGAGAAGGGCCTGGGCTCTGTAGATGGAGCCCACCAAGCCTGGAGGGGCCTGGAGCCATTATGGGATCTATCTCCTTAGCAAGGCCCCCCGACCAGACCCTGAGAGTTAGTTCAGAGGTCCCTGCTCTTGGTCATGAGGGACCACCTGGGCACCAGTGACCCCAGGTCTTCTCTTGGGCCAGGCGGAAAAGGTCCACTGAGCAGAGAAGCAAGGTGGGGTTCTGTGTGTCTGAGAAACAGCCCCAGGAAGCTGCTACTCTCACCCTCCAACTGAGTGGGGAGGGAGGGAGGCCCCAGTGCAGCTTCCTGGGAAGCTGTGCAGCCAGATGACAATTGGAATTAGCATCAGAACACCTTGATAAAAGGAAGGGAGAAGGAGTTGAATCCCTGAATGAAAAATAGATTATTCACTGTCAGGCTGAACAATAGAACAAGACATAAATAGCAGCCGTGCGCAGGACATGCCAATTTTGCTCAAAAATAGTGTGCTTGGTTCACTTGCCGCCCTCCAGAGAGCACAGTGCCACCACCGAGCTCTGCACCTGGCAGATGGGGGAGAGAGCAGTGGCCTCTTGGAAGCAGGAAGGACATAGGCTTTAGAGGCAGAGATCTGAGTTAGAATTCTAGTTCTGTTACTTACAATTCTGTGTGTGTGTGTGTGTGTGTGTGTGTGTGTGTGTGTGTGTGTGAGAGAGAGAGAAAGAGAGAGAGAGAGAGAGAGAGAGAGAGAGAGAGAGAGAAACACTGACATAGAGAGACACAGGCAAGACAGACTGAGTGAGGAGAGAGCAATGACTTCTTGGCATCTAAAATACCGTGAGGCCAATATAAGGGAAGAAATCCCTGTGCAGGGAGGTGGAACAATGTGAGTGTTAACATCAGAGATCTGCATTAGGATTCCGGCTCTGTTATTTACATCTGGGTGTGGCGGGGAGCAGGTGTAGGAGGGGCAAGGGATGGAGGAGACAGAGGAGACAGGAGATGAAGATGGAAAGGAAGAGGAAGGGGAGGGAGGAAGGACCCAGCAACCAGCCTGGATAAGTTACAAAGCCTCTCAGAACTTTGGTTCGCACATGGAGAAAACAAGGTTCCAACTATTTTCCCTGGAACCTGGGACAGCCGTAAAGACCAAGTGTGAGCTTGTTGGCTGAGCACTTGGTGCAGAAAATTATTCAACAGCAACTGGCAGGACAGCCAGAACCAGTCGCTTCTGTACTTCACCCAACCCTCCTGCTTAATTTCGCCTGTCCGTGCTATTTTGTTTTCTCCCAGATGTTTGCTCACAGGGCTTTCTGTGCACCTGGTCCACTCTGTCTCTGGTGCCCCAGAGGACAGGGCTGCGAAATATGGAGCATGGAATTCCATGCACGGATGTGAGGCCCCAGCTATCACCTCCCTGTGAGCTGACCAGGGTCTCTGCAGCAGTTGCCCCTGAGGAGCTCCTCTTACAGGACCCCAGGAGTCCTGAAAAGGCGTCATTCTGCGGCACCTGAGTCAGTGCTTAGAATCATGACTTGGGTTAACTGAGCGTTCTGGTGCTGATGGAGGCTTGTATTATCTCACGCTTCCATGTAGCTATGGGCTGGAGCTGTGTGTCAGGCTGGTGCCCTCCATTGCATTCAACCAAAAAAACCACCACCCCGTTTATGAAGTCATAGGGAGGGAGGCTAGGTCACTTGCCCAGGGTTCTGGGAGGAGCCAGGATTCAGACTCTGAGGAAAGACACTGGCTGGCTGCAGGCCTGTGGCTGGGAAGATCCCTGGGTGGCACAGAGGCTGCACAGGCTGGTGGGGCCCACCCTGGGGCTCACCTTACCTTGGTGAAGGTCAGACAGTCCTTGTCTTGGTCTTTATCTTTCATCTCAAAATCATAAAGTGCTTTTCCCTGGGGCAGGGCGTGTGGCAAGGGCTGGACGCACTGGATGTAGCTGGCTGGGAGGAAGCCCTGTGTGCCGTGCAGCTCACCATGGTACCAATGCTCATCCACCTTGCGCCGCAAGACAATGATGTCCCCCTTGTTGAACTTGAGGTCTCCAGGTTCCTTCCCCTCGTAGCTGTAGAGGGCCTTGCCATAGGGAAGCAGGCAGGGATTCTGCAAGCAAGAGACAGCACGTGGTCACCAAGAATGCCCCTTCCCGATGCCCCCAGGTGGATCTGCTGGGGCAGCCCGGGGCTTCCCAGGGGCTTTCTGTATCCTGGGGGTGCATACAGAGTGCCCCAAGAGTGGAAAATATTGTAATGAAACAGCCTGTCACAGAAACACGCACGTTCCGAGGCCCCACCAAGACAAGAGGGTCCCCATCATAGCAATTCCTCTTAAACAGGACACTGTCCGGGGCCTTCCACACAGACCACCTCAATCTGTGCAAAAAGGACTCTGAAGTAGGTGCTGGCTTATCTTCATTTACAGATGGAGACACTGAGGCACAGAGAAAGAAGGCGACTTTCCCAAGGCCCACACCTAGGAGCAGTAGGTGGAATATGAACCCAGGGGGTGTGGGTTAAAAATTTCTTACCTAATACTCTGTGTGCAATCATATTCCATTGGTTCCTATTTCTCAGGGATTTTAGTCTAAGAAGCTGCCAGATTTCTAGCAAGTATCCAACAATTTTTTCTTTTCCTCATCTACTGACTAGTCACAGCAACTCGGTGCATACTCCAGGGGTTGAAGCTGAGCAGCAGGTGTGCATGGCATTCCTCATCAAGTGTCTCATTCAGCGGACTCAGGGCCAGTGGCACGCATACACGAGGACCATGAGAGACAGCCTATGTGGAGCACAGAGGCTGTGCCCAGGCACCAGGGGTTCTAACAAGCAGTCCCCAGCCGTCACGGACCCCCAACCACAACACACAGCTTTCTGCTACATGGACGTGTAGCAGTCTGTTCCAGAGGTACAATTTCAAGGGCATAAGACAGTATCCTTTTAACATGAACGACGTTCTCGTATCCATCAGAGGTTAACCAACCTGTCTGCACCTGTTCTGCCATCCTCAGTATCAAATCATGACTAGCTCTGAAACCCAAACAAGATTCTAGGCTTCTTCTCCTTGTCAGCAATAAGAAGCCTATCAAAGAATTCCAAAACTTGATGTGATGTCTTCGTCCACTTCCTGGGCTTCTCTAACTGGCCCTGTCTCATCAAAACCATCTGGCCACACTGGCCTCTCTCCCTTTTCTTTATGGGTGGCCAGTACCCACTCAATTGTGGGAGCTTTGCCAGAGGTCAATCCTGTGCCAGAGGAAAACCAAAGGAAAGCCTTGCATTGTCCTGGTGTCAATACCCAACGATTTTCCTACCAGAAGCCGCATTTTCTCACCAGGGCTGCGTAAGCCAAGGAGTTCTTCAGTATTCGAATCAATCAATAGAAACACAAAAGCCTGAAGCAGTATTACATCGAAAAATTCTTTGTAGAGGACTTAATAGCATGTTGGCAACTCAATCATTCTACATTTATGTTTCAGCAATGTCAAAGACAGCAGTTAAGAGAGAGCCTGCTGGCAAACTGACAAACAGCCACCACTAACCAATTAAACAGTAACACCAGAGGATTTTTCTTTGCAGAACTCGAAGAGAAAAAAAATCCGTTTGCTTCCAATAATACTCATTCTGGATAGCTTTGTAGTGAAAGCACAATAGAGTGTAATGAGCCCCAATTTTAGAGAGCGGAGGCAAGGGGTAATTTGCAAGACAAGCACTGTGATCAGAAAAAATTGGAAGGGGCAGTTGGCTGCAGGCCATCAGAATAATTCCACTGCCACACAGGGGCCACTCAGCCCCCAGCCAGGGAATCTCAATTTGGGACAATTTTGCCTGAAGATATTTTTTGGCTATGACAACCGGAAGGTGGGGTGCTACCGACATCTAACAAGTAAAAGCCAGGGACACTGCCAAACACCCTGCAAAGCCTGGGCAGTCCCTGCCACAAAGAATGACTCGGCCCAGAGCATCACCTAGTTAAGAAACCCTGGCCCAGCCTGTCCAGTTAAATTTACAAAAAGACAGAGTAAGTTTCCTTGTTCTAATAGAACTTAGATTACAAATACTTTAAAAGTTAAATATAACATTTATTTTCATTTTGGGAGTATTTTCACTATCGGCTACATGGAGGGAGACACTTCGAAATCCATCAAGGAAAGCAGTTTTAAAGGGACAGTAAGAAAAGAACATGCTGTGAAGTTGAAGAACTGGGCTCAACAAGATGCACACAAAAATTTTTTACTTTGTCAGGGAATGACTCCATTTCCTTTCATTCCCAAATCACAAGGGCGAAGCTTAAAAGCAGTGTTATAGGAGCTATAGACTTGGTGGCTGTCTGGTGACTTTTGCTACCATTGGTAACCACAGTGGGCAGGAAGGGCCAGCTGTGCACCTGCCTCCAATGCTGCACTCCCTTCTGCGGCTGGCTCATGCTATCTGAGCACACACACCTCCCCACAGTCCCCCTGGGAGAAGGGGACACTGTGTTCCCTCTCTGCGCTCCCCAACATCAGCCTTCTCTAGACTGGGTGACATAAAAGCCACCTGAAGACACCACTTACACCCACATTGTGTAATTGCGGCCCCTACTTATGCAGTGTGACAGGGAAAGCTGGGGTGTAGGGCCAGAGAGACTGAGGCATCTCCCACCAGGCAGCCTGGGGCTGCAGGCCACCACCCTGGATAGAGGCACTCTTCGAGGCACACACTCCTGAGTCGCAGGGGGATTCTACCTTTCACAAATTCTCCAGAGGGGCTATGGCCTCACTGGCATTAGTTCTGTGGCCTGTAGGCCTCCCTGACGCCCCGCCCCCTTCACTGTCGTGGACCCCAGTTCAACCTGCCTCTGTGCCAGTGGTTCTCAAATCAACCTGTACCTGTGATGTCCCTTCTGATCAGGGAACTTGATGTGAACCCAGATGCCTGCTTGATGGCTCTGCTGGATGTCCACAAGCTGATAAAGGCCATCATCTGTCCCTCCAGCCCCACCTCCTGTGTTCCTTGCCATGGCCGTGGAATCCCCACCTAGCTGATCAGCAAGGACTTTCAGTTATCCCTGTGCTTGCCCTTTCCCTTGGCCTGGGCACTCCTCCTGCCGACTCCACTTCTGAGCTCTCACCCAGAGGGCCATGCACCTTCCCACTCCCACTGCCTTGCCTTCCATCTCTCCTGCACCCAGTACAAACCTCCTCCAGTGGCCTCCTGGCCCATCAGCCCATTGTGGGCTGGGTGCCCAAATGCAGGGCTGAGCTCACACACCTGCTGCTTATGAGCTTCAGTGGCTGCCTGCTGACCTCAGGGGATCTGAGCTTCTAGGCACACCAGCCAAGGTCCCCTAAGCTGGCCTCAGCACACCTGCCAACCCATGGCAGACTGTCTTCAGTCACGAGAAGTCTGTGCTTCTGGAACCTGCAGGGCTTGGCAGACAGAGCTCATGCTACCTCCTCTGCCCTTCTCCCTCCCTCTGAACCCACACTGCTCCCCAATCACCACCTGTGCCCTCCTAATTCCATCAGCCACCCACCAGCCACCCTAACTCCATCAGCCACCTTCCTAATTCCTTAGTCTCTATGCCACCAAGGCCCCCAGGAGGGGATTGTGCTGTTCACCCTGATGGCCCTAGGACACAGGAGTATTCCCTCTGCATAGTAGATCCCTTCTATATGCTGTTAATTTGAAGGCACTCAGGTTAGTCCTGAGTTAGGCCTGGATGGGGATGCAGGGGGGAAAGTTAGAAAAGAGAGATCTGGGGCTGGGCATGTTGGCTCCCACTTGTAATCTCAGCACTTTGGGAGGCCAAGGCTAGAAAATCACTTGAGGCCAGGAATTTAAGGTTAGCTGGGCAACGTACTGAGACCTCATCCCTTAAAAAAAATTTTTTTTAATAGCCAGGAATGGTGGTGGCAAGTACCTGCAGTCTCAGCTATCGGGAGGCTGAGGCAGGAAGACTGAGTGAGCTTGGGAGTTTGAGGCTGTAGTGAGCAATGATTGTACCACTGTACTCCAACCTGGGTGACAAAGCAAGATCCTGTGTCTATGAAAAGAAAAAGAAGCCAGGGCAGGAACAGGGCAGGAGCAGAGGCAGCCCTGGGGACTGCACCCCTGGCCACCACGCCATAGGTGGTAACTCACCTGCTGGCCCCAACCCACCACCTGCTGGCCTCGAGGCTGGCCCTGACAGCGTAACTCGTGGGGCAAGCAAGCTGTGAGAGCACGTAGGGCCCAGGTGGGGCCTGTTTGCCAGGGCCGGTACCAGAGCCAGGAGGAGAAGTGGGGAAGGGTAGGGGGCAGAAAAGCCAGGAGAAGGCAAAAGAGCCCCCCTCATATCCCCATCTCAGACTGTCAGACTCAGGTTTGACAGAGCAAAGCCAAGAGGGGAAATGAACCTTTTTAAGATGCAGGACACATTTCTGAGGGAAAAAAGGAAAAAAAAAAAAAAGAAGTCAAGGAAGGTGCTGAGAGGCGGTTTATTTGGAGGAGCAGAAGCAGCCAGAAACTGGATCTCATCAGAAAATGTTCAGATGGGTGACACTTGGCACCTCCAGAGTCTTTCATCTTCAAAGCCCTTTATAAGATTAACTAATTAGTGCATGGAAGGGGCCTAGGGCAGGCAGATGCTATTATGGGGGAGAAAAGACTTCTGCCGATTGCACAGCAGCAACCCGGAGGCCTCTATGTCCCAGCCTCCACACCCACCCAGGAGGGTGGGCAGCTGCTCCAGAGCCTGTTTGCTTTCTGCCCACTGACGTGTTTGCGAAAACTTCTCACACTGTGGAGTGCTCCTCTTTAGAAGAATTTCATTCAAACATTGTCACTAAGCCGCCATTATTTGGGCTCAAGACATTAAGAAAAAGAAATAAAAGGAAAAGGGAAAACCCATCTGGGATGCCTACAGGACAATTAACACCAGCCGCCCCTGCAAGGCATTAATAATAATTAAAACTTATAATGTCAATTTCATGGCTCATTACTCAGATGTGGCACACACATCGTCCTCTGGGCTTAATGTTCTACCCATGGAGAGAGCGCTCACGTGGGCACAACGGCGCAATCTCCGGCTTCTACGGGCATCAGGCACGTGGCAGCGGGCTCTGATGAATGTGCTCCTGACACCCCTGGGTGGAGCTCTCAGGCACATCATCCCCCTGAGCAAGGGCTGGTGCCAGAGCTGGCCTGCAGCGTGGGGAGGGCACGACTCCAACTGGCCTCCTATTCCAGACCTTCCAGCAAGCTGGGGTGGAGAAAGTGGAGCACCGGCTCCCTGTGTTTAAGACTCTAAGGATACAATGTTGTTTCCTTTTTTTTTTTTTTTTTTTCTTTTAAGACCAGAGTCTCACTCTTTCTCCCAGGCTGGAGTGCAGTGGTACTATCTCTGCTCATTGCAACCTCCACCTCCTGGGCTCAAGTGATTCTCCTGCCTCAACCTCCTGAGTAGCTGGGACTACAGGCACATGCCACCACACCTGGCTAATTTTTCTATTTTTAGTAGAGATGGGGTTTGACCATGTTAGCCAGGATGGTATCAATCTCCTGACTTCATGATCCACCTACCTTGACCTCCTAAAGTGCTGGAATTACAGGCGTGAGCTACCACGCCCGGCCAGGATGCGATCTTTCCAGGAGAGCACTTGCCATGGCTCTCACTACCTGCCTTCCATGGAAGCCCTCCTCTATGATCAGCCCAACAGGACAGATTCTCACCTGTTTTGCTCACTGTTGGATCCCCTGCTGCTGGCCTGACACAGATTGTACATTCAATATATCTACTGAATGAATGCACATACAGACTAGCAAACCAGTCCCCTGGGACTGGAGCCTTGACTCACAGCCTCTATCTGGTCCATTATTTTTCCCAAAATATGAGGTTCACAGTCCATGTGGCCCAAGATCCTGTTGCTAATAGCAGCTGGGCCTGGAGGAAAGGGGGAAATCCCAGGGGTGGCTGATGAGGACTGGGGCATTCCAGCTAGCGCTTCAGCCCATGCAAAGGCCTAGAGTTACAGATGGACATGGGGCCAGCTCACTTACAGTTTCTAGTATAGCACATCATGTGGCTGGCTGAAAAGTGGCAGGGAGATGAACACATTCGTCCACAAGCTCTGTAGGGCAAGACCCTAATCGTATACAAAGCACTGCAGCATCTGAGAATGTGGCAGGCACAGCTGATGACCCCCCAATACCCACTCTCTGCTTCTTTTGTCTGTCAGAATATTCCAAGTTTCAACTGGGGTCAAGCTTCCAGTGGACGCCTTCATTTTTCAGCGTTGCCTGCAGGCAGCCCTGGTTAGCTGTCCACATTTCTGTCCATGCGATGCAAGTGAAAATGATTCCTGCACATTCTGGAGCATGTTTTATAATAGCATGCATAAGGAAATCTGCCTTCCCACGGGCTGCATGGTAGATATGGGAGGGTGGGCCAGTTTTTCCATCAAAGATTATGCTCAGAGCAAAGGGGGAAGGAACCTGGGTCTTGGGATGACCTTGCAGAATATACCCCTGGACCATGAAATAAGGAAAAGGAAGCTTGATCTTGTCTGAGCCATCATGTTTTGAGATCTCATTTGACTCACTCAGGAAGTTTCAGGTGTGTTTACAATTTCTTTAGCTTGCAAGCATTTTTCAAGCCAAGGCATTGACTTTCATAGCACTGTTGAGGATTGTCATTTATATGCTGCCATCTTCGAATAGCACTTTCAACTCACTCTCAGATTTAGAAAAGGCATGACTCTTGGCCTTACCTTATTTTAAATAATGTATTTACCAGAGTGTATCCCATCTTCCAGTTTATAGATTTAATCTGCAATGAAGAAGTTTGTTACTGCATCACACTGCAACCAGAGGTTCCCAGGTTCTCGTTTTACAGAAAATTATATTTCGAGTTCCTTCATCCCCTTTTCTCATTCAAAGCTGCTTGTCGGGTCCTAACTTTTTGTTTCTTCCCCTCTTTTCTTCTGACAGTTTCTTCCTTCCCCATATTTGCACATTCATTCGTCCAAGAATTGACGAAACTCCTGCAATATGCCAGACTCTCACTAGATCCCACGCTACAGAGCACAGTAAGGTGCATCCCTTCTTGAAGGTCACCACCAGTGGCCCTGCAGCCTTTACAACAACTACAGTATGACGGAGGTAAGGCAAATAGAGAAAAATACAACTTTCCCTTCAAACATGGGGTGATGAGGCCACTGCTAAGCTGTTGCATGGGATGCAACTGTGAAGATATAAATTGTCTACAGCCAAAAACTGCTGTAGCAGTTTCATGTTTCAGCAAGATTAGAGAGGATTTAAAAGCAGATTTACTTTTCTTGTTTTCTTCCTGTTTTTACTTTCCCCAGACTTTGTTGTGGCCTGTTTGCCTGTTGCTCCATTCATTTTGGTAGTCAGTCCCCTGGCCAGCCATCAATAAAAGGTGGGCTGGAGACCCTGAAGAAGACCATAACGGCATGGAATGGTGTGTGCGTTCTTTTCACTGAAATTACAATGTGCACATCTGGAGTGTCCCCATGCCAAGATGACAGCCTGCCATCCACTCTTGCTGAGAGAGGAAGAATCTGACAGTGCACATGGTCCGCGTGGGGCATGAGGATGGACGTGAGAGGAGCGGCTTTGCTCCAGACATGGAGGTTCCCAAACTGCTTCAGGCAGTCCAGAGCCCGCCAGCAAGAAGGAACCCCATGGCAGGAGCCTGTGCCTCTTCCCCCAACACTGCCATTCTGCATGGAAGGTTTCCATACAGGAGCTTGAAAGAGTTCAAAAGTGAACAAAATGAGGTTTTCGGTTTGGCAGAGCCTCCTGTTCCCCACAGGCTTACCTTGTTTGTTCAGACACAACCTCAAACCCCCAGGACCCCACCTCCCTTCCTGGATCTCAGCTCCTGCTCACTGGCCACGGAGTGAGCCTTTTCTCTCACCCCCTGCCTCTATGACCCAAGTTCTCAGGGGGCTGCCTCCAGCCAGAGATTCCTGCTGCTCCCATTTCTCTGTGCTTTATTTCATGAACCCACCTAAGTGTAAAGCAAGCTCTGTGACACCTAGTTCATAAAGGGAACTGAGATTAATTTTTTTTTTTTGAGCTAAAGTTTCACTCTTGTTGCCCAGGCTAAAGTACAATGGCCTGATCTCAGCTCACTACAACCTCCACCACCCAGGTTCAAGCAATTCTCTTGCCTCAGCCTCCCAAGTAGCTGGGATTAGAGATGGCTGCCACCAAGCCTGGCTAATTTTTTTTTGTATTTTTAGTAGAGACAGGGTTTCACCAGATTGGCCAGTCTGGTCTCGAACTCCTGACCTCAGGTGATCTGCCCACCTTGGCCTCCCAAAGTGCTGGAACTGCAGGTGTGAGCCACCAGGCCCAGCCAGAAAGTGAGATTAATTCTATTCAGACAAACATGAAAACATGAGATAACAAGAATTACCTGGAAAAGTTTTAACCTTGAGCTTGGTAGTCTTGTTTAGAGTCCACAATGCCCGTGCAGGCCCCTGGGCCCCACTTCCATACGCTGCACAGAAAAGGGCACGTACAGAAAGCATGTAGAGGGGGGCGGGTGTGACACACACACACTCTCAAAAAGCCTGTCCATGTACCATCTGATACCAGGGAGGAGAACTAGGAGGTGGAAATGTCTAACATTAGCATAGATCAGGAACTGG